CCTATCCCCTGTGTGCCTTGGCAGTCTCAGCGAAAGATTCTATTCTCGCCGTTACGTGCTGCGAGAGGTAAATGAACGCGGACACCAAGATTCTAATTTAACAGCACCGGTTATCTTATCATCGTGCGAGACGAGTCTCGAAAGGCTTGTCGCCGCACAAACCGTCGCATTTCGATGCGTGAACGCGCCGTCATAAATTTTGCCGCATAATCACGCGAGCGATAAAGGTACGAGGAAAAGAGCGAAAATAGCTGCGTGTCCATACGTCATTGGGTTTTAATATTTCTTCCTCGCGCTCTTTCTCTCTTTCTTCGCGTTTAATTTTATCGAATCAAACGCCATTTCCACCACTAACTTTTGTCTCTACGATAGACAAAATTGCGATCGTAAATTATCGAACGCGTTCCCTCAGAAGTTCAATGAAGAATCATGTTCGTTCATAAAGAGAGTCAACATTTCTTCAGAGAAGAAACATCAATTTTGATCATCGATCCTTAATTCCTCTCCTTAAATCGACCGTTCCATTTTTCGTACTTTAGAACTGCTTGATTGGCTCCATTTACTTTCGATATCCTCTGAATTATATTTCTTTTCTATTTTCCTTTTACTGTATTTTATTGCTAGTTTCCCGATTTATCTCCAGAGTCCCATTTCGTTCGAAATTGTGACGATTTATTTGACGATCGACTTTCTCGCGTTTTCTCCACGTTCGTCGCTGTGTAAGAATAACTCGGTTTTATTAAAGCGCAAGCGAAACCGGCAGCGGCTACGTCAGGGTGCGCGACACAATAATGTCACGCTTATCGTCGGTGACGTGTACAGGAGAGCTCGAGAACAGGAACGACGCCGATCGCCCGGCAATTGCGTTTCAACCGGAGCCTCGTTCCAGTTTCGTCGTTTGACGCGCATTTCCCGACGCGGCGTCCCCTCAAATCCGACCTCTTTCCCTACCTCTCGTCGTTCATCAGCGTACGTCGCAATTAACGCTGTTCACACGCGCGCGAAATTAACGGATAATTAGAAGGCACGCTTGAAATGTATCTCCCGGTACGCCGATAATATAATCCGATAAATAATCGCAAGTGCGAACGCTCGCCTGGTCTTCAAATATTCCGAATATCGTTCGTTTAGTGAACAAATAAATGCGATTTTTTTTTTAACTTATGGCATATTTGAATCGCAAATTAATTCGTCTGGTGAGGAATATTGAGGATAAATCTCTTCGAGATTTAAATCGGGACAAATTGCGCGGCGAGAGATCAACTTGCGGGAATTATTTATCGCGTGCGTCGTTCAAACGTTGAAATAAAATTTATTTTCTTTCTACGAAGAAGAGATAAAGTGACAATACAATTTCGAGCGAATTTAATTCTTTTCAAAAAAGAATCTCCATTCTTAACAAATAATTAGAAAGCACGTTTAAAACGAATCTCTTGATACACTGATAATCTAGAGAAATAACGCAAGTGTGAATGTATCTCATTTGAAATATCGTTCATTTAGAGAACAAATATATGCGATTTTTTAATTCATAGTATATTTGAATTACAAATTAATTCGTCTGACGAAAAGTTTGAGAAATATCTCCGAGATTTAAATCGGTACAAATTCCATGACGAGAATCAACTCGCGGGAATTATTTATTGCGTGCGTTATCATACGTTATTCAGATTTCGAAGCAAGACCTATGTTTCCTTTCTATAAAGAAAAGATGAAGAAAGGGAGTGCGGCTTCGAGCGAATTTAATTCTCTTCGAGAAAGGACCTCCATTACGAAGCGGAACGTGCCATTTCCGGCGGTAGGTAACGTTCGTATGAACAGGCGTGTCCGCCCTCCTCTTCCGTTTCCGCTTATTTCCGGATACTGAAAAATATCACCCACGTAACGAGAACGGAGATCGAATGGAGTCCCGAGGCGCGCGCGCGCGCGCTGCAGAAAAACGGATAGATTATAATTCGCCGGATAGATTATAATTCGCCGACTTTAATGAGCTTCGCGAGTTCTCGAGCGACAAAGTTCGAAAGGCCACGCTTTAATACCTCACCGTCGAGCTCTACGCGAATAAAAGTGTCCCCGAGGAACTGGTTGCGACTTGGAAAGCGACGTTAAAGAATTAAACAATTCTCGAGTTATTAGCAGGACGAAAAAAAAAAAAAAAAAAGATTAAAACGAGTTATAATTAAAGCCTCTTAGAATGTTTAATCGATAATAATAGGATATTATAATAGGATATAATATAGGATTTAATAATAACAGGATAATATTAGGATATTAAAAATTATTATTTTAATAATATTTTTTAACGCCATTGTTTTTCACAAATAACTCGCGTGTGTCGAAGAGAAGAAACAATCATCTCAACATCGGAAATTGCGTGACGATAATAAAAGCAAATCGTATTAAGAGGACGAGAAAGCGAGAGATTTCGCTCTTGCGGGGAAAAAGGACGGTGTAAGAATCGCGAGAGGCGGATAGAACTCGTAATTGACCGGCGTGAAATCCAATCCGGTCTTCACCTCCAGAGATCCCGAGGAAGGAAGCGCGCGCGGAAGATTGTCAACTAAGGTAAGACGATCCGAGCGCGGAAGAGAAAACGAGTATTGCTTGCAAACGAGTTTCGACGCTCGAGACGAGACACCCCGGGATACAATCCACCCTTTCTCCGTTTCTCTCACGTTGACACTTTATTACACGGGATACCTGCGCGCTACCGAATTAATTCCTTCATCGTCTTAGCGGAAAATCGTCTTAACTGCGTCATCGTTTAACGCGAGAAGTTAAAACAAACAATAAGACACTCCTCCAATTAACTTTGGCAGAATTCGCTCAAAAGGAATTCCATTTCCAGCTTTAATTGCGAAAAATACAGCGAAGAATGAAGACCGTTACCGACATACACCGTTTCCTATTTTCAACGGAGCTT